TCCCAGTTTCTCTGCCTCCTCCATCCCAACAGCCTAGGGGGAGGGGAAATGGTGCTGTGATCAGTTCATCACATGGTGTCCTTTCTGCCACTTCCTCCTCAGCAGGAGAACTCCTCATGCTCTTCTCCTGCTCCAGCATGAGGTCCACCCCACAGGAGACAGCACCCACAGACTTCTCCAGTATAGGTCTTTCCCATGGGCTATAGTTCTTTATGAACTGCTCCAGCATGGGTCCCTTTCATGGGGTGCACTCCTGCAGGAAGTCCCAAGTCCTGCCGGCATGGCAGGACTCCTTTCTCCACAGGGACACAGGTCCTGGCAGGAGTCTGCTCCAGTGCAGGCTTCCCATGGGGTCACACTCTCCTTCAGGCATCCCCTTCTTCTCCATGGGCTGCAGGTGGATCTGCGCTCCACCCTGGACCTCCATGGGCAGCAGGGGCACAGCCTGTCTCACTCAGCACCTAGAGCAGCCCGTCCCCCTCCTGCACTGACCTTGGGGCATGTAGGGTTAATCCTCACATATTCTCACTCCTTCCTCCAGCAGCTGTTGCACCACAATTTGGTGGGGTTTTCTCCCACTTCTTGACTATGTCATCCCCGAGGCTCCACCACCATCACTGATGGGCCCAGCCTCAGCCAGCAGTGGGTCTGTCTTGGAGACAGCTGTCATTGGCTTTGCCTGACATGGGGAAGCTGCTGGCAGCTTCTCACAGAGCCACCCCTGTAGCCTCCTCCTCTACCAAAACCCTGACATGCAAACCCAATACAAGATTTTATGTGAGCAGTATTTTAAAAAGGTATTTCTTTATTCAAATACCTTAAAAAATCTTATGGGACTTGTGTTTGGGACATGGCATGTTTTCTGGAGGATGACAGTGAGACAGGACAGCTTTCCTGCTCCTGTGTGACAAGCAAGAAATGCTTTTACAGTGTCTCAAGAGTCATTAATTATTTAGAGACCTGAACCTGAAAGGTGCTGAGTGCTCTCAGCTCTCACCAACTTCAGTGTCACCCAGTCCACAATTAGCTTCAATGGGATCTGAGGGAACACCACATCTCAAAGCAGATGTTTACCCCACAGAGCCTCTTCTCCATCGCACCCCTAATACAAAAACACCAAGTCCACAATTCGGATCCAGCAGAGCTCTTAGATATATGCTTAAGTCTCTCCTTAGCCTAACACACTTCAGCAGGATTTAGCTACATGTCTAAAAATTAGTATGTGTTTAAATATCTTGCATTCTTGAAAGAAGATGGCAGGCTTTTTATTTTCCGTGAAAGATGTGACAATATGTCCTTTTAAATGAGTCATATTTTTTAAAAATGCAAAAAAAACCCCACATAGTAAAATATATTTTCAGCAGGTAAATAACTTCTTGTCATTTTCTAAAGCCATCACAATCCATTTTTTTTGACATACAGTTTGCTTTGTTTTATTGTGGCATGGATTCTCATGAAGAAACTGAATAAGCCCCATGTTCTTGCTGCACCAAAGGAAAATGCCCCCTCACACACCATCTGACACTGGCTTTCCAATCAAATACAAAAAGTAAAAGCACACTGTCCCCACCATCTGTGACAAAGTCCCTTTAATTCTTCAAACACTTCTCTGTAAAATGTGGCTATTAGTAATAGCCACACATTTTGCTGCATTTGTATATTAGAGCTGTTTTCTTTCATTCTTGATTGAGACAGAATCATTGTATTATTAACCCAGAGAAGTTCTCTGTGCTTTTTAATTCCAGAATAATGAAACTCATTGGAACTTGGCGGCATTGAGTCTTGCTGACTAATCATTGGCATTGGCTAATGGCAATTTTTAATCAAATCTTATTATTAAATCAGAATATAAAAGATTTAGAAAATGCAAGGTTGCAGCTAAAGGTCATTAGTCATGAGCACAAGAAGTAATCAATACAATTATGGCTGCTCAAATTGTGTTGGATGGGCCAGGTGGTGCAGTGTGATAATGCGTTACCCTTTCACCCCGGCTGTCCTGCTTGCACCGCAGATAACAGCGGGTCTGCTGCCTCCCATCTAATCTCTGGTGGATGCTTGAACGTGCAGAAACCATTAAAAGGAATTCAACAAAGTGGGCTAAATTCATTTCTTGGTCACACTGGTGTAAATTTTTAGTGGAGTTATTCCAGATTTATTCTTATCCCATTACAAGTTTTTTTAGCTGTCTCTTTTAAAACTAAGATAATGTTTTGGATAATAGGAATGAGATGGAAATGCGCATTTTACAATGCTATCAACAGCCTAACCTACTGTTATTCACTGTAGTGCCAATATGAAGTAATAAAAATAAAGTCACTGCAGATTTATTAAAGCTAACAAGTGCAGAGCTGGTTGTTAAGCAGTTTCTTATAGTTCCTTTCTGTTATGAGAATGTGATACTGAGGTTACCTTATTTTCTTTGTTTTAGGAATGTATTTAAGAAAGGATCCTCAGGGGAATCCTAAGAGGGATTAGGAAAGGCTAATAATTTTGAAACTCTAGGTAGCAGGTGGAACTAGAAGCAATCTGTGAAAAAGCTACACTTCATCCTAATAAATTATTTTATCTCAAAAGGATGAGATGGCACAAGAAAAGTTGCACTACCTGTAAATCTGCCCCTACTGGCAAGCATTCAAGCAAAAATACCATCATACATAAGCATTTATTTTCCAAAAGACATGCTTTTCTTTATCTCCTTTCAGCAAAATGATTGGCTAAACTCCAACCTTAGGCAATTTTTTGAGGATTTCATACATGCATCTGCGTGGACAAGGGGTGCTGGTCTCCCACCCCTTTCATCAGAGAACATTAAAAAATGCTTGGTTACTAGCAGAGATTGATGTCTGGGGCATTCACCCATCAAGGGTATTACCTTCTCTGAGAATTGCAAAGTTTTCCTAAATATTTAGTTTGGAGTCCATCTTCTCTAACAAAAATACCATCAGTTTCACTTTGTGTCATTGTATTCGTTGCATTCATCTATATATCTGCCCTCTAATGCAAACAAAAGAAAATTCCAACACTATAAAAATCCTGTGTTGATATGAAGGTGAGATTTCCTTACAAAAGACCAACAGACCAAAATAAGTAGACTACTGATTTTTTCTAACTTTTTTGCAAACATTGAAAATATCTCCTTTTTTATACATAATGTTTAATCCTGTGAACCTTCTTATATATATGAATAAGAAATAAAACTTCACACAAGCTAGCTACCAACCATATAGACATAATTGCTTTTGGAAATATTGTACTTGAAGACATTTTCATGTCAGCTGTATGTGTTTGAGTATCATCATAACATGGTGTTTACACCAGATTAATACCATATGCTGTGTGGGAATTATGTCAGGTTATAAATGGAAATACAGTATAATATCTGAAATTCAGGAGTGCTTTAAAATCTGATTTCTGTTAAAGTGCTGCTATTCTAGAAGAACATAAGTTTGAATAACATTACTTTTGATTTACACCAGAATAGTGCGGCTAGAACCCATTCCAGCTGCCTTAAATTCCGTTAAACAAGTGTTAAAATTATCACCAATTAAAACTGTTTCTACACACTGCTAGTGGATTCATGACCTCATTAACGCAGCCAGGAGTGCTGCCACAGAATCATGGTGAGACCTCAGATCTGATGAGATTAATTTTTCTAGCTTTTCTTCTCCCAAAATGATGCCACTCTCCCATGTCTCTTCTAGGCCTCTTGTGAATCCTGTCAACACATTTTAGCTCAAAGCTGAAAGCACTTCTTTAATCTGCATTTTACTCACTGCCTGAGTAATTTAACAGTTGTCGAGCAGGTCGGGAATAGGAATAAAAGTACAAAACACAAAAGTGGGGAAAGGTGAGGGGTGTTTAGAACACAGCAGAAGTGAGCCTAAAGAGAAAGCAGTAAGAAACAGAAAAGAAAAGCAAATTAAGGAGCAGAGCCAGAGTACCAAAGCCAGTAAAATCCAAGAGATCTTTCCACTGATTTTAATCAGACCCCTTGGGAATAACAGAGGAGAATAACGAAGGACGTTAAGCGAGATGGCATCATTACGGTAAAAGGGCTTAGCAAAAGGACAGTGGATGCTGAGAGCAAGTGAAGTTTTACCAGGGGAGCATCTTCCCACACTGCTGAGGAAGAGGCAGCAGGCTCCTTCCTGGGCTAAGCCAACCAGCTTCAGGAGCCAGACTGCCACATTAAGTCAGCATCGTGTCCGAGTCTGGATGCTGCTCTCCATGGGGCTCATTATCCGCGATGCCAGCACAGCACTCGGGCTCCCACATGGAGAGGCTTCCCAGGGAGCCAGGGCAATGCAGGGGCACAGCAGGAGTAAAGCTGGGTCACCCCCATGTCTCTGCAGACCTGACCCACCTTTGTTTCACATCCAGGCTGCTCAAAATTAGGCAAACATGTGACCCCTTGGACCACTTCTTAAACTCACACTCAACTTCTTCTGACCAGACCACATTACTCAGGTCAGCAGATTGGAAAAAAGGAAAAATAACAGAAAATGCCCTGAGTTTAAGTAAAATTACATTATTAAATGTCCAGCATTATATGAGAAGCTTTCAGAAAATTACAGTATCTGAGATCACAAAAATAAAGGTTGTATTTGTTCCTCAGAAAACAAAATTCAGGTATAAAGATGATCTTTTATTTAGGGTGGATATGCATACTAGTATCACAGATTCTCGTGTAAGGACTAAAGTATATTCTAGATATTCTATGGAACGTTTTCTGTGTGCTGCAATAAGTTCTCTCATGCATTTTCCACTAAAACATATTCATGTTATTCACTTAAACATTATTTAAATCTCTTAGGGATGACAGATTGCCATTTTGATTAAAAATTTAAGGGTTTGCTGTTGATTTGACCCTGATTTGTACACTGAGTAGGACGTGATATCTTTTGTGCTAATCTAGTTCCAAGCAGATTTAAATATATATATATAAATATATATATATATATAAATATAAATATATATATATATAAAACTATGTTGGAGGATTGAATGTAGAAGGAGAGCATTAACTCTGTCTTTACATGGGACCTATTAATATGAAAATTATTGTAATATGATTAACAGCTCCTCTTAACACCAAAGAGAGGGAGTCTTGAGAGATTATTCTGCAAGATGATAACGTTTCCCTATCCAGTTTGTAACCCTAGGGAAAACTGAAAAAATATGGATTTTGACTTGAACAATAATGAAATGGTAAGTGATATAGCTTTGCTGTCTTATAATGACTGTATTAATTTGCAAGCTGTAGTGCTAAACCAGAATAGAGGTGCTCAAAGAGATATGCCTGTTATCTAGGCAACAGTTAATATGATGAAAATGCTATTTAGAAGCAGTTCTGTATTTTTATCATAAATATAAGTTTAATTCCATGAGAGTCTCCATAAAGTCCTGGTAGAATGTAATAAATGCAACATAATCTAAAAGAGAAGACTGTCATTCATAACCATTCCCAATATTAGTTATGGATCTTTTAAAGTTTAAAAGCACTTTCTGTAAGAGAATCTGTCCTATATATTTCATCCCATATTACTTCCCCAGTTTAGAAAAATTACTTAACTGCGATAAAGAGATTCAATTTTTACCTTTTGCTTGCTTTTTTGAGTTAGCATGGCAGTCCTTATCTATTAATTTGCCAGGGAGAATTTCTCTTCAATGATGCTCTTTTCCCCAAAAGTGAAAATCTTTTAAATTTTAATTTTAGTGTGGGAAGGAAGTACTCCACAAGCAAATGACAAAAAGCAACTATATACAGACTGATGTTTTATCACCTTTCATCAGGCTGAAAGTGCAAAGCTTCTGTGAATGCAATTATCTTACAATTGTCAGAATTTTATATTACTGATATTTATATATGACTAGGATGAATAAGCCTTTTTATTCACTGGTGAGGCTGTCTTGTATAGATTTCATGTCATGTTTACTGAAGCTGAACTTAATTTGACAAGACCATAAACCACAGCTATTTTTTATATGACAATAGCCTAACTTCAGCTTTTGGGAAACAATATTTTTAAAGTTTCCTGGAAGGCAGCATCGTGGTCTGAGAGCTGTAGGACTGAACCAAGCAATAAAAACAGGGTCATAACGAGTAACATACAATTACACAATATGCAGCTCAGACCTCAGTCAGAGCCTCTCTTGCCTGGCTTCTGCAAGGAACTCATGTTTTGTCTTGTCTCTCCTTGTATCACAGTGCAAATATGCTGGCACACTCTACACACACCTTTGGGCAGAAGTCACAATGATGAGGCAGGATGAGAAGGAGCAGTGGCCTCTACATGTTGCAGTACATCACCTCGTTGTATGGTGCTGCACAGGGCTGCTCCCCTTCACAAGCCGCTGCTCCAAGAGCTTCACCCCTGAGGATCCATTTCACAGTGGTATCTAACATAAGCCAACAGTCTGTTGTTCAGAAAGGGGGTGTATTCAAGACAGCATTGATAGGTGTTTGCTCTTGCCTGTATGCATAAAACAGACAATCAGTTATTTTTTTCTCAGTTTTCCTATGGAGTGCTGAATTGACTTTGGGCCTAGACATTGTGGGATGCTCAGTTCAGAAGCTGCATGTTCCTCACGAGAAAGGTGTCTGCAACAGGCTGAAGGATGTGATGTTGCAACAAACTTTGTAGGTAATTGTGATGTTTCCAAATACTTAGTGGTACAGTGGAGTTACCTGAGGACTCTCAAGGATGGGGAACACTTAAATCCTTCTGGATAAGGGACAAAAAGAAACCCTGCTTTTCAAGGCAGGATTGGATGTTCTAATTCTACTTAAAGAGAGCTAGAAAGCTGGGGATGATTTGGTTCAGACCATGTCTTTTGATGTTTACCTGTGCAGTAAATTATCAGGTCTTTTCTCTGTGTTACAGGGCCATCAAAATGTACTATGACACATTGAAGCAGGCGTCCATCTCTGAAGGAGAAAAACCCTAAGGGAAAAAGTATGGGAAATGTATTAAAATGTGTATTCTGTTTAGGTTTTCTTCATCAAATATAAAGCACCTCAAACTGTTCATCAGCCAAACCAGCAGCTGATTTATTATAAATGGGAATATTATGAGACAAGATTCTCTCTGCTTACCAACCACATAAGCAGCTGCTCTAATAACAAGTTGTCTTTCTTTCTATATATTCTACATGTTGATGTGATAGCCACAGATTTCTGTATCACTAAACACAAAAGCCTTCACCGCCTCCTCCTGAGATATAACTGACAGAAATTTATTGGGAATCTGAAGGATATTCTCCCCACACTAGTATTTTCCTTTAAACACTCTCTTTTTAGGGGAGCAGGAAGGAAGTTCTTTCATTCAGCTTTGGTGTGCACAAAGTCCCAGTTTCTGTGCAGATTGCAGGATGTTATGGCATTGTCTATGTCAATATTATCTGCGTGCATTCTTAAACCCTGTAGCTCTGAGCAGGTAGGATTCTGTCTATACCTAAATGGTAAGACTGTATCTGCTATAAATATAATAACATCATACACACACACATACAGATGGCTACAAAAGAGTAATGAGACATCTTGTTTAGCCAAATATACAACCTAATGAAAGAAATCAGAGACTACTTTTTAGCTCTTGAGACTTTTAATCTTTAAACATTTGAGTTCAAGTTCCTCCTGGCTCTGAGAATATTCAGCTTTTTATTATACTATTTTTTCCTTCCCCCACTAAAATCCTAGTGCATGGTTTAATTACAAATAAGAATCTTAGCACAGGTTTCAATTTAAAGAGAATTTTTTTTCTGCTAAATTTATATCTTTTCTTCAGTGAAGGGATAAGTTTAAATTACAAGAGGGAACACAATCATTCCATAAAGGTTTGGAAAAGCCCTCATTTTCTTCCAAAGCTTAAAATACTTTTCAAAAAACCCACTCCCAGCAAGGTTCTTTCAACAGAGCTATTAAAACATAAGTGACCATTTTCATTTAGGTTTATGCAAAAAATAATCCATTGTCATTTAAGTCTACTGCCAATTTCTCAGCTGGTATAAATCACCATTATTCCAGCTTAGTGGAGTAAAACTGCTGTACATCCAGTCCAGGATCTGGCTTCTGTTTTCTATTAACTCAGATAAAGAGTACCTGGATGAAATTCTCTAGCCCGTGTTTTACAGGTAGTTAGACTCCAAGCTCTAATGATCTCTCTTCTGCCTTTGAAACCGATGAATCTAATGAAAATTATGTGCATGTATCAAGGGGAAAATATACCTGTTTACTGCACAAAATTCTTGTGCCTCATTTCACAAGACATAGAAACTTGGCTATTTCTTAAGCCAGGATTTCTTTTTGCAGTATTGATAATTATATTACAAACAGTAATTAGCACATGAAATTAATAAATCTTTTGCTTCCTCATTTACACCAGTTTCCCATATTGTATTAGTAACCACACATTAGCTAATCAGCAGGTTGGGAGGGAAAGCTGCCAAAAGCAGATCTGATAATTGGCAGCAGTCAACAATCATAGCAGGAAACTTTACACTTCCTGTGGACAAGGCTACTGATGGAGACAATGCTGAGATACAACATCAGGGGGAAAAAAACCTAGGATGTTTAGTTCTTTCATGTTTCATTATCTCTTGTAAAACTGGATTCACATATCACAGGGAGATACAGGCACTTTGCACAGAAACTATATAGATAACCACCACTGTCTAAGGAGAACTTGGTAATCTAGTGATCACCTAGAAACATTCACAGATTTATCCTCTGCCAAATTTTACAAGCCATTTAAAACACAGTTTTATCTTTTTAAGTCCATACACGTACAGTTATTACTGACACATTTCACTGCCCAACATTGCCCTGAGATAAATATCAACAAATCCATCCTCTAGTAAGGAAATTTAGACACACATCAGCCTAAATTTAGATCCAATCCACCATTTTAGATGCCTCAGATAGTATTTAATTCAATATTCTAAATTTTTCTGCATCTACTGCTTAGCCTTTGCACCATCTGAAGTTCTTCAAGTGTTAAGACTAAAGTTTCCCTAGTCATCTCAGTGATTCTCCTTCTAGACATAGATAGAAACACTTCAATTTTACAGTATAAAGAACTCAGGAATCCAAAATAGCTTTGACTCCAAGCATTATCCACAGCTTGGCATCCTTAATTTATCTTCTTCCTGAAGGCATTCTTGCTAATGTTTTATATCAAATATCCCCAAGATTAAATACAGTAATAGTATCTCAAAAAAACTGAAGAACTCCCACTTCTGCTTATACATAGGTGACTTAGTTCCTCTGGGCCTCTTTCACAAGGAGGAACATTTTCCACAGGAAAACATCAGATTTCCTTACTGCAAAATGGCCTTTATCTGGACAGGCAGGACAACCCCAAGAATTGCCCTACAGGCTTTGGCAGAAATAACTGGTATATATTCACTATATAAAGCAAAGGGGTAGGAGAAGGCACAAGGCTATGAATCCTAAGAATTAGCTTCCTATATCTTAATAAACATTGTGCCTACATACAAACAAGGCCGGTATTTAAGAAACACCCTTGGCACTGGCAGTTTCCACCATTTTTCCCTACTACTGAGAGCTAATCAGTGCCTTTCCTTAAACTGTAGCCCCCCTCATGCCAAGCTGTCAAATTAGGGACCAAATCCTAACAAATTTCTGAATGTACAGGAAGCCAATCTCTTCAGGCATCTTTTATTTTCCTAAAGAAAAAACATGTAATTTCATGAAACAAATGGGGAGTGGGAAGGTTAAAAAAATTCCTGAACTTAAAACCACAGCAAAACACAGAATGAAAGAATTTCAAATGGTGAAGGGAGAGGAGTACTAGGTCATATATCTGGTCTGCCTAAACCCATCTATCCTATTCACTGTTTTTCCCATCTATACTATTCACTGTTTTTACTGCCTTGTACATTGGTTTTGGGCTTTGTTTCTAGTCCATGCAGATATCGGGTCCCAAATATAGGGTTTTCATCGATACCACTTTTCAAAAAAAATAAAGAAATACAAATCAATATAAACTAATGACAGAGAACTAACACCTGAAGAACAGTCAGTGCACTGCACTCATTTTCAAGCACCTTGAGATGATAAAGCTTCAAATAAAATATGAGAAGTCCACTGAGATGTACAAAAAGAGACATACAGAGTAGGGTAGGAGCCAGAAGAGCAAGATCCAGTCCAGTCTTTGAAACCAGACAGTCTTTGCTGACAGTGAGGGTATATACACTCCTTGGAAGGTGTGAGTTTTGGGAAGAGATTTGTAATACTTTTGCTGTGTAGGAATATGATCACCATCTGCTCAAGTCTGTTGAATTTTGCCTCTAAGATTTCCTTTACAGATCTAAGATGGAGCTCTTTGGCCAGCAAATTCTGTGACTGCACATCCTACCCTCACCTGTGGTATCTCAAATATATGGAAAATGAGTCCACAAATTTGCACTGCTTCCTCCTACTAAGTGCTGAATACTTTAAGCTCTCAAGCATAACAAGACTTCAAAGGATATTGTCATTACTACCAAGTATCAAAATCAGAAGGAAAATGCAGGGTAAAATGCCATCCTTGATGTAATCCCTAATCTCCCAAAAAAAAATCTCAGCAAGCTTTGCTTTTGCTTTCAGTGAGAGCAGATCAGGACCCTCTGGTAAACCGTGTGTTTTGTGGATTAAATGATCACATTTCCAAGGTCACAAAGCAAAAGGGAATGATAGTTTTCCCCTACAAATTTCAGATCTACCATTTAATTAATTGACTTTGGCAGTTGGCACACAACCTTTTAAAAAAAATAAAATCTGAAATGTCAGCCTTGAGCAGGGAAAAAAATAATTTGATGAATTTAATCTAAGTGCCAACCAAAGCACAAATGTTCCCTGTGGACCCGTTACAACACTGGAGTTCACAACTGATTGCTTGGGAATGAGCAAACTAATGCAGCAAAATATTTACTAGCTAAGTAGATGTCGTTTAATATATACACTCTACTTGCCAGATATTTATACCTGTATCCTGTAAAATGCTGAAATTTTCAGACTTGTTAAATTAATTAATTTGATTAAAGTAAATAAATAGAAATACAGGTTGCTCTTTTCCCAAACAAGAAGTTTCTCTGACTGAGGGTATTCATTTATTACTTCTTTTTTTGCTGTTTTGTTGTTTTACAAATGCAAGAAATGACACAAAAAAACCATGTTCTCCTCCTTACTCTACATACTTTTCATGTAAATTATATATAGTTTACTGGATAGTCTTCAGAAATGAACTTCAGGTACCATCTGTATGTTTTTCTGGCACTATTTATTTGCAATTAACCAGGGCCTTATGTTTTATCCTCTGCAACTTAGAGTCTTAAATCCTGGAGGAGGTAAGTTTAGCAGAAGGGAATATTGAATTCAGCATCAGGCTTTCTAATGAGCAAAACCTATCCCACTATTCCATATTTAAACCATTGTAACTGAGAAAGCCTGTTCTTCCTAGGTAAAAAACTCTCATGGTAAAAAAAAAACAACAACAAAAAAAAAACCCAACGATAAAAACCCCCTAGTTTTAATAGCACCTGCAAGTGCAGATTAATCTATTTGTTACGATTCATTAAACTTGATGGCTCAGATACTACTCCAGTGAGAACAAGCTCCACTGATTTCACCAGAACACAAGGACTTAACTGATAACTGGGACACTGCAGCAATTTACCCCAAGTGACTCAAGGTGTCCAGTCCCATAATAACCTCATCCTGCAAAGCTTCTCCTGAGGTCAGTGATTAAAAAGCAGAACCTGCAAGAGAACAAATATTCATGAGGCACCAGAAACTTTAGTGATGCTGGAGACCGTTTCTTTTCTTTCAACCCACCACACTCATCCCACTCCACCCACAGAAACCACACATCCTGAAACTTGCAGATGCACTCATCTATCAGCAGAGACACACAGCTTTGGGAGAACACTTGAGCAAAATGCAGCAGGCTCAGAAAAATCCCTTTATTCATAAAATCACCCAGATTATCTGTGTGCTGCTTCCCATATGAGAAGTAGTAGTCAAAGATACAGCAATGAGGCAGAGCTATGAGCCATACCAACATTTTCCAGAAAGAAATAGGCAGAAAAGCACAGACAACTGCATCACCTATTAGCTAAATCACTTCTCTTCTCCTGAACATGTAGCTAAACCGAACAGGCAGCAAATACTTTGTCACAACATGGTACACTCCAGCTCTTCATAGCACTGCTTTCACTAATGGTATTTCAGTGTCCTAAATGCTGAGTGTTAGGTGCTTTAGCACCCTTCCCGGAAACACCCACCTGTGATGGTAAGATCAGTGGAAATGACTCGTGATGCTGAAAAGAAAAACTTTTCATCCCAGACATTGGTCACATTCTCCTAAGCTGAGTGAAATTCTCTGAAACCTTATAGTATGCAAGTACATCTGTGTGTGAGCATGTACAAAAGCAAGTGAGGGAGTGGGTGGGGAAAATATGTGTGGTACAGAACAAATAAAGCAGAAAACCCCAACCTTATCTCTTGCCGTGCACAAGGAAAGTCTATTTGTGTCAGTGCAAGTAATTCTGAAGCAAACAAACAAGACAAGAAGGAGTAAATGACCGTGTTTCCCTCATTTTTTTTATATCATCCCTGAACATTGGTATCAACACATTAAGGAGAAGGAACTGGTGCATTTTACAAGCAGGAGAACATGAATAAACATCAACATAAAATGGGGAGCTAAGAAGTGATGAGGATTATTGAATTCGGAGTGCCTTGTTAAATTAAATCAGGACGGGGGGAAAAAAATTACACAAATGTCAAAATATTGGCCTCTCCAATTCATAAAAATAATATTACCATTTCTTGATACAAATTTACTGGAATCAAGTAAGAAACACAGACAGTCTGAACTCCTCTCTCTCTCTTCTCAGGCTCATTAGCACCAAAGGGCATGATGAGGAAGCTGTGACTGGGAAGAAGTGGCCCTGCTCTGGGCATCTCCCCACTGTGGTCACAGCAACTGCCATCAGCTACCCCACACATTCACATGTGGGCTTTGCATATCATACAGATTATAAAACGAAACAACAGAAAGTACCCTTCAACATGAGAACAGTTTTGCGACATGAGACCAGGAGAACTTCCAGCCTTTTATCTCATTTCCAGCAATGGAGCTAAGGAAGGGCAAAAGAACAGGGCAAATACATACTCATAGTTTCTTGGTTCACTCACTCATCACTTCATGATGTGTTGTCAAGGACTCTCTGATAAGAAGATATTTTAATAGTTCTCAGTGGATTTTTATTCCACAAACACATTTAACAGCTTTCTGTGCATGTCTAAACTTCTTTTTTGCTCATGAAATAATGAGTTGCACAGCTCAGCTATGCACCTGGTATTTGTTTCAAACCTGCCATCCAGTGGTTTACATGTGGGCTATGTCCAGTGTTGCCAGAAGGGTTAAATAATAATTCTGTATTCACTTCTCTCCTCCATGATCTCAGGCATTCCCTTCACTTGTTTCTTTCATACCAAAGACCCACAGTCTATTTTATCTCCATCTGAAGAAACTGCTCCACACACTTAACTACCTCTCTTGCCTCCATCACTGTTGAGATCTGGGCTGATGGTTTTGGAGAACTCAGATATTACTTCTGAGTGATGAGCCAGTTCAAAAGCCCTACTGTGTATATAAGTTTACCACCTCTTTACACTTCTAATTACTGAATTGTACCTGACATTTTGTCAGTCAGACAGTCAGTATCATCATACTCCTCTGCAATTCTTTCCAGCATATATTTTTTCTAATAGCTTTATATTATTTGAAAACTAGGTTATTTCATTATTTCTTTTGCCAGATCTTTTACTGACTGTCTCTCACTTATATCATTGAGGGACTTCATTGATTATTTTCTGTTGGAAAAGCTGACTGTTTATTCTTATGCTTTTAACTAGTCTTTATGGAGAAGCAGAGATATAGGAGAATGGGATGAAATAAATATTAAAAAACAGTCTGTTATGATGAAGTGCAATTCAAGTTTCATTATTTGTGCTTCCTGTGATACCTGTGTTACAAGGTTCACAAAATAAAAGTTCTTCCTAAAACACTCCACACTACAGAACTAAGGACCTTTGATCAAGCAGCTATGCCATAAAGTTAAATATAATATCTCTTAGCTGAGAACCCTTCGTTAAACTTCTCATTAACAGATCTGGAAAGGTTTTTGTATTGGGATATTGTCAGTTTTCCATAAAAACATCTACTTCTTCTGGAAGTACGATATTCTGAAAAAAAATTTCCCCAAAACCAAAGTGCTTAAACTTGTAAATTATGCCATGGTGGCGACTAACAGCAGCTGTATATTATTTGCCTTATTCTCTTCTCTCTGGACAGGACACTCTGGCTAACTACTAAGATATTATTTCAAAATGTGTACCACAGCCACAAAGTTCAATGATGGAGCTTCAATATTCAGACCCTAAATTGCCCTTCAAAAATAGCTGCAAGATACATATAGAAAAACTCAATCATCTCCCATTATTTTCAATTCTTGTATTTTTAAATTTATTATTATTATTGTTATTAATTTTTCTTGAGCTGAGTAATTTTGGAGTTCAGAAAAAATCTAATATCTGGGCTTCAGATGCTACCAAGCATTGAAATTAAAAAATCATTTCAATGTACATTTTTAGAAATTCTGAATGTCCTATTTCCCTGCTACAGGAAGTGCAAGGGAATGTTTATTATCCAGACCTTTTCAATAGCAGAATATTGGTAGTTATTGATATTGCAAATGATCATATTCCTTTGGAGGCATTATATGATCAAGCTGTAAGCTGTATTGCCCAGCCATAAAATGATGTAACATAGATTGCATTTAAATAAACATTTGTAAATGCAGAGGATGTGCCTACCTTACCAGGTTGTTTTGTATTTTACAATATCATTATTCTGTTTTCCTTTTCATTTACAAGGCTAATGATCTGCTTTTGCTCTGTATATCATTGCCTGCAAAGGTCCTTGATCCCTCCACGTGCAAGGATCCTATTCTGCAAAAATCATGGTTCTTCTTCTCCTCATGTCTGTTTTTGAGATGAGCCTAGGTGGCAAGTAGCTGACCAGAAGTTATCTGGAATGAGGCAAGTTAAAAACATGAAAGAAACTGATCTGTGACTTCTGCCTTCTCTGTACCTGGCTTTTAATTCTATAGTGAAACACTGAATTTGTGTTTGTGGGTTGTTTGGTTTTTCAATAAACTTTTCTTTTTTATATTGCTGACTTCACAAGATTCTGAGTAGGATATTGCATCCCTCTGACATTTGCATGTCTTTTGCCAGAAACAAACAAAAAAAAAGAGTAAAGGAAACTTGGTCCTTTTGGAAGTAAGATTTTTCCTTTTGTAATTCAAATCACACATATTAGTAGCTCAGTAGAATTCATATTTTCCTAGGTTTTTTTGGATTAGCTTTGATCAGAAGTGGTCAAAATGAAAAGGCCTGCTATAGGATTATTCATCTGGTTCATCCATCTCTGAAATATAGCAATATATTCATGTTAGGCTATGAGATGACACTATGGCAATCCTTCCATTTCTCCCTTTGTCTATTACACAGAAGTTTTTTGACTAATCATCAATTAAAATTTGACTAATCATCATTGTACAGTGACAATCCCTAGGAGCAATGAAGTCCAGGAGCCATGCCTGCTGGTGCCCAAAACTCAGGGTAAAATTTATCCAGACAAAAGGTCAGGTTTTGAATATATAGTTTCCTTCCATGCATTTCTACCCTAACCGTGTCTTTTACATTTGCCTTGCCAATCACTTTCCAAAATTCATGGAAAACATAATAAGAACACATAATATGTCACTGGAAAGCTTCTGGATGAGAGGGGTTATTATCAGTTCCTCCTCTGAGTATGTCATGCATGAGATTTATTCGTGAATAAGACTTAATTGGTTGGAGTCTGCATTGCTATCACAGCAGCTACATGTAAGATGCTACATAAGATGCTTTTGCCAGACATGCAGGGTTAAGGAGAGAAAAACTATGGGTAGGTATTGGGCCCAAGAAATCCTTCGTGAAAGGCTATTTGTCTATCTATGGCAGAAAGATATTTTTCCCTTCTGCACATAAAAATGGACAGAATGGACTCAAAAAAGTCTGGAGGTTCTTTCAAAAATTTTATTTATGCTGTTCTGTTATTGGTTTCTTAAGAGGTCCCTTCCATAAAGCATTCTTTTAAAAGCAAGGACTGAACTCGGCAGAGCAAGCACTTAGTCTCTGCCACTTTATGGACTTTACTGCCAAACCATAATGCCATTGATCTGTTAAATAAAGGCAAACTTTGAAAAGAAATAGTACCACTTCCTCTTCATGGTAATTTTTAATGAAATGTACTTTTCATGCAGCGATTTAATTTCAGTAGGACTAGCTCAGTAAGTAAGGTCAAGACCTTGTAAGAACTATAGAGGTTAACGTTGCTGATCTTGACAAATTAGGTAGAGCGTCATAGCATTACTCTGTGTATTAGTTTAGGAGGCCAATAAAAGCAGTGCAAGAGATGGAGGGTTAGTACATAATATTAAAAGCAGTGTTCCTGTAGTTATATATTTAATACAATATTTGGAGACTTGAACATGTAATTTGGAAATGGGAAGGTACCAACCCTTATTTCTTTCTTGGGCTGCAGTGTTTTATGTGGTCTTGAGGACCATCTGCCCTTACCATAGTCTTACCTATTCCACAGAGGTGCCGTGAGCATTAGCTAATGACTCCTAAGTGCTTTGAATGCATAAAGCCCTATGCCTCATAAATACATATATTATGAAATATAATTACATAGTTATTGGAAAAGTCCCTGATTGTCTCTTAGAAACAACTGTCACGCAGCACTTACTATACATAGGGAGTGACACATAATGATGAAGTAGTTAAAATGATACTCTTGCTTCTAGACAGAGCATTTGCATTTTTGGAGAAATTTCTTGTTCTGTTCAGGGATTGGCATAAGAAGCTTTCAGAAATGCTAAAAATATCTTTTTATATTAACTAGCTTTCCTTTTCTTTGGGCTAAGCACACAGAGGTACAAAAACAGTTTTGATAGCTTCTAAATAATGACACTAAGGTTAGAAAACTGCAAATGATAGTACATTATATGAGCCCGTTTTATGTAGTAGTAGGGAATATTCATTGACACAGAATTAATAAACTCTGATATTATGACTATATAAGTTGCCCTTGGGCACAACATATACCCACAGTATTTCACCCAATGATTTCTGCATAGACCCTATAATTTCTGGTCAAAGTAGGACAGTTTTTAGAAAAAGATATGTTTTTTGAAATCTTAAAATTATTAAGAATCAAACAGTACCTTAAAAAAAAA